ACACTGGGAAGAGGTAACTATGGGGAGGAAGTGGGAGGGGAGCTGTTGCATTGTAAATTTTGGTCAATGACATAAGACAAAGTATATGTGAACTGCTGTATGAAAAGTGAATTTACTCTGTAAATCTTCACCCAAATCAAAATAAAGTTAAAAAATAAAAAAAGAATTCTTTAGAAGTATGCCCCACTACTGACAGCAGCATACTGTCATTTTCTAATTGTAGAGTTTACTGCTTATCTCATGAGTTTTCCTTTTAGATATGAGTGCTTTCTTCACGGGGGTGGTTTACTAAAGTGACAGCAATCCATTTGAAACAAAGATTTATTGCTTAAAGAGTACAGACCAGAACATTTTAATAATGTTTTTTGTCATTGAGTCGGACCCGAATAATACACCTTTTAAAAAACCACCCAGGGTTGTTCACAGGCATCTGGTTTTTCTGAAACCTTTTCTGATGGAGGTTAGGACGTGAAGGCACAGAATAAGGATAACAGCTTGGAATTTCTTCTCTCTTCTGCCTAATTCCTCCCTTACCTGGCTAATAACAGTTAGCCACAGTCACAAAAACACAGCAATAGAACAAAGATAGCAGCACCAAGAAATCTTCCCTGAGCAGGAAAGCAGCCCCTATTACCTACAGAGACAAGACACAACCTAGTATTAACTGCTGTGAGGTAGATACTTAAATTCACTGTGACAGGTTCCAGCTCTTGATAGAAATCACTTACTTTTGTCTAGGTTAGAGGAAATACTTAAACCAAACAGGAGATAGAAAAGCTCAAACATGCAAACTAGCTATATGTCCTCCAAGCTAGACTCTCTGCTTTTGGCAAGTATGGATGGATTTTCTGCTGGCACAACAGAACAAAAGCTATGTAAGTGATCCTCAGATTGATAAAGAGAAACAAAGTCCCACGGTTGAGTTGGGACTTTAAGTTTGCTTTTAATACTCTGTACCTTTCTACATGACTACAAACTTTGAATATAACTAGCAAAAAATTTCAGAGAAACAAATATAAATGATTCAACATAAGCCAACTAAAGGGACAAACACACACACAGTTTCATTCAATCTTCAGTCTGGATGATGAATCCAAGGTTTGTTTGCCAGGCTGAAGGTTCTCCTCAGTTCTCCAGAACGTATTTCAGTTGTTCCTGTAAGGAAGTGAGCTGTAGGGAGAGGAAGAAAAAACATGAAAAATTCACATACAATCCTGAGTTCCATTACTTGATGTAGGACTTATATGAAACAAGAAGAATAACTGTCAATTTGCATTTATAATGTCTCTTAAGTCTTACAGTGTTCGAAAGAACAGTGTCATTGTCAAAAACACATGCATACTACTGTGGCAATGATGATATCCCTTATCATATTCAACTTAGAAAAGGATGTTTTAAGATTGGATATGCTTGCTTTGGGAATGTGTGCTTCTGGGAAGAGTGTAGAGGACTCAGCTCACTGTAGAGGCAAAGGAGATATGATTACTGTAGCCATATTCTAAGAATTAGGAAATAAGGTTATTGGATAGCCTTGTGTCCCACTGAACACAATGGATCTTATACTGAGTTTTACCTGCTACTTCTTGCCACATTATGAGACACCTAGAAACAGGGTCAGTGCTCTGACCAATCAGGAACCTGATGATGTTCTACTTTCCTTTATGCTTCCTAAGTCAGAAGCCCTGAGCCTTTGATGGTGTAGGACTTTTTTTTTTTTTTTTTTAACTTGAAATGGTAAAGTGACCAACAGCATTAAGACAGTTATACTGCTTTTGGGACAAAGATTGGGTTTTTTTTTTTTTTAGTACATTTAATTTACATCATTCAACACCAGTATGGATTTTCATTCTATGACACTGAGATAAGGAATGGAGCATAACAAAACAATCCAACACTGCACATCACTTACTGAACTGCTTTAATTATTGACCTGCAGTAACTCAGAGGCTCTTCTCAGATGCTGTGTGACCCTGGTTGACCCTGATTGCAACATTACAACCAATGACTGCTCTAGTTCTTTCTCCTTTATGGGTTTTTCTTCTTGCTGCTACCCGCTAACAAAAAAAAAAAAACTCACTGCTATCGAGTCCATTTGACTCATAGAGACCCCATTTGGGTTTCCAAGGCAGTAAATCTTTACAGAAGTAGATCACCCAGTCTTCCTTCTGTGGACTGGCTGGTGGGTTTGAACCACCAGCCTTCTGGTTAGCAGTCAAATGCCTTAGACACTATGCCACCAGAGCTCCTTCACTACCCACTAAGGGTAGGTTTTTCCCTAGGTTCAGATTTCTTGCTTAACAGTCAACCTGGCTAACTCATCTATCCCCACAGCTTCAATGATCATTTCGATGCATGGGCCTCAGTGGCATCACTAAGTTGGGGTCAACCAGTGCAGTAATTCATGGTGTCACCCCTGTTCCCCATGACCTTCTCCTGTACCAGACCATACAGAATCCTTAATAATGTTTATTATTAATTTTAATCATAGAATAATATGTGATATAGTTGTAAATTGCTTTAATGTATTATTTCTTAGATTATATGAATACGAACAACAAAATAGTTCTGAAAAATCTTTCTACATTCAAATACAACATTCTCTGTCTGTCTGTGTTTGCCATCGAGTCGGCCCCGACTCATAGCGACCCCTCCTTGGGTTTCTGAGGCAGTATCGCTACGGAAGTAGGATTGCCCAACCTTCCTTCCGAGGAGTGGCTGGTGGGTTTGAACCTCCAGCCTTCTGGTTAGCAGTCAAGTGCCTTAGGCACTATGCTACCAGAGCTCCTAATAGTTACAGTATTATTAGTAACTGAGCCAAAACCTTTTTTGATTTTTCTCCTTTTCCTTTACTTACTACTTCATTCTTAAAAGTTACTGATAGAGGTTCACAAATACTACTTACCACAATATTGTAGCTAAAGCAACAGATAATTTGATAAAATCAGTCACTATAAAAACACTGGAAGCAACAAAACAACAGTGTGTGCAGACAAAACCACATGATTTGAAGTGGCAGGGTAAGTAGGTGATAAGGGCAGCTCTGACCAGAGTACAGTAGAAGGTCCAAAAATTAAATTAACATAGAGGTTTTGCCTTGTAGGTACACTGGTACATGTAAGCTGGGTTTATGAAAAATATTTTTGTTGTTATAAGTAACTACAAGGATGTTTATATAAATAATAAATTTCTGCAGAAACACTGCACAAAAATTTTATAGTCATTTTGGTGTCACCCAATGTGGTCCATACTGCCTCCAGCCCCCTAGTGATGCCACTGATGGGTCTCTCTCTGATCTCCCATTTTCAATGGCACTTCCAACTCAACATGCTTCAAACTAAACTCATCACCTTCCCCATCTCTTTCACCTCCACCCAATAATCCTCTACTTGAAGTCTTGGAATACCATTTCCCAGCTACCCAGCCTTTGGGCTCATCTTTGTTCCCCTTGTTCCCTTATGTTGTAGTTGTTGCCATGTGCCATCGAGCCAGACCTGACTCATAGCAACCCTCCTTGGGTTTCCGAGGCAGTATCACTACAGAAGTAGATTGCCCAACCTTCCTTCTGAGGAGTGGCTGGTTTGAACTGCCAGCCCTCTAGTTAGCAGTCAAGTGCCTTAAGCACTACACTACCAGAGCACCAATCATTATGTTCTATTGATCCTTTCTTCTCTTGCACCTTCCCCTAGTCTCTTCCCATTCCACTTGTTCCTATACACTGCTGGCAGAGTAATCTTTCTATTTCTCCCCAAGTTAAAAAAAAAAAAAAGAAGCTCTGATAGCTCATCATGACCTACACCAAACATCTAAATAAATGCCTGAGCCCAGCAACACCACCGTACATGCTGCCTTCTACCTAGATTGCCCTCCTTTCCTTATCTCCTTATCAAACTACTTATCTTTTAAGGCCCCAATAAAACATCATTTTCTCCATGAAGTCTTCCCTAATCCCCACAGACAAAAGCAAGCTCTCATCCCTTTAAGTCCCCACTCTTCTCATGGATTCCTCCTCAACTGAAGTCAGAGACTGTCTTAAGCATTTTGTTGTCCCCTGTAGAACCTAACTTAAAGTCAAGTCAAACTTAAAGTAGGCACCCAATAAACCTATCTTGACTAATTTAGCTAATACAAAGCACTCTAAATAAAGTTTACAGCTAAATTTTTATGTTGAAAATATCACTCTCCTATAGTAGATTACATGGACGAAAACAAAGATGTTTGATGAGTACTAAGCACTTGACTACTAACCAGAAGGCTGGCGGTTCAAACCCACCAGCCACTCCTTGGAAGGAAGATGGGGCAATCCTACTTCTGTAGTGATACTGCCTCAGAAACCCAAGGAGGGGTCGCTATGAGTTGGGGCTGACTTGATGGCACATAACAACAACAACAACAACAACAAAGCAATCTTGGCATTAACTGTTGCTTATAAGCAGTACCTAGTTGTTTATAAGCAGTACTTAGATGAGTGATTTGCTTAGCGGAAGGAAATATACAGAGCATAAGGAGTCTTTGACTGGTTCAAATGGTTAATGCACTCAGCTGCTAACTGAAAAATTTAAGTATACCCAGAGGAATCTTAGAAGAGAGGCCTGGTGATAGATTTCTGAGAAATCAGCCATTGAAAATCCTAGATAGCACAATTCTACTCTGACACACATGGAGTCAAGTCAAAGGCAACTGGTACTGGTAAGAAGTCTTGTGGGGATGTGGGTGGAAATGGTGCTTCAATATTAAGAGCCTTATACTAAGCTCAACCTCATAATACAACCTCCAGGCTCGTTGAAATGGTTACTCCCAAAGGTATAAGACATACATGTTCTCTGTAGCTGCTTAACTCTCACTTATCCCACATTATCCTCTTTTCTTTTCACTCTGCACACTTTTTGTGGCTTTAAGTAATGCAGTTGTTCCAGTTAAAAACCTGGCACATATCTTTAACACTTCTTATTACTTCAACACCCAGTAAAAATCCATCACCAAGTCCCATCAATTCTACCTTTAAAATATATTCTCTCATATATGAATGTTTGTAACAGTGTTATTCTTGATAGCTAAAAAGTGGAAACAACTCAAATATTCATCAACTGGATAAATGAAATGTAGCACATATACAATTAAATAATATTCAGTCATAAAAAAGGAATAAAGTATTGATGTATAATATTATAATCTGGATAAACCATGAAAGAAATTACACAAAAGACCATATGATATGATTCCATTTTTATGAGATAGCCAGAATAGGCAAAATAGACTAGTAGAAAGTAGAATAGTAATTGCCTACAGCTGGTGGAGATGGGGAAGTGATAGCTAAAATGTATGGGGTTTCTTTTTGGGGTGATGAAAATGTTCTAAAATGGATTGTGGTGATGGTTGCACAACTCTGTGAATGTACTAAAAACCACTGAATTGTAACTTTTATATAGGTGAATGGTGTGGTATATGAATTATAGCTCAATAAGACTGTCAGAAATTTTTTTTTGCAGCTAAAAATATAAAATATAATATTCTTTCCATCTCCATTCTCACCAACTTAGTCCAAGTTACCATCATCTCTTATTAGACTACCACACAGCCATGGCCTCTCTTCTTCCACTCCTGGACCCCCCTACAATATATTCTATAGACAATAATCAGGGTCATCTTTTAAAGTTTAAATATCCCCAATCTCCATGACTCTGAGACCAAATGAACTAGATGGTACCCAGCTACCAGTACTGACCACTCAGAAAGGGATTGCAATTGGAGGTCCTGGATAGAGTGGGAGAAAAACATGGAACAAAACTAAAAGAAAAACATGGCACAAAATAAAAATCGTATTTAAAAAAAAAAAGGACCCCTGAGATTCTGGCCTATAGACAAGCCTAGAACTGAACTCACCCTCATGGTCAACTGTCAGCCAAATGATAGGCCTATAAGGTGAACAGTAACACTAGGGAGGTATACACTGAACAATCAACCATATGAGATCAAAAGAGCAGCACTTGCTTAGGAACAACACTCAGAAGGCAAGGAGGGATGGGAAAGAAGCATGAAGGGAAATGGTAAACACGGAGGAAGTGGGAAGATTGCTGTTACATTGTTGGGGTTGCAGTGAATATCACAAAACAAAATGTGTTTGAATTGTTCAATGGAAAACCAATTTGCTCTGTAAACTTTCACCCAAATTACAGACAAAATTAAATACATAAATAAAAGTTTACATGTGACTCTCCTGCTTAAAACTCGTTAAGGGCTTCGTATTGTACTTAAAACTAAAACCCATCATTATTATTGTGGCCTACGAGGAACTATATGACCTGATCCCTGCCTTCTTCTCTGACCTTACCTTAAGTCACTCACTTCCTAGTTTGAAATACCCCAGAGGTCCTCAAAGGTGCCAAGTACTTTCCAACACAGAGCCTTGCATATGCTCCACCTAAGAGGCTGTTTATGCCATTCTTTGCCTGGACTTACCCTTCAGGTTTCCTCTTAAGTATCACTTCCTCAGAAATTCCTATTATGGTCCCCCAGATGTATTTCAGGACTCTCTTTAATAGTATCATTTACATTTTTCCTTCAAAGTACTTCTTCACTATTTGTAATTTGGTATTTGTATGATAATCTGTTTAAAGTCAATTTCCTGTGCTGGGCTGTTGTCTCCATGAGGATGGGTATTATTATCCATCTTATTCAACACTGTATATACCCAGTGATTTTCACTTAATTGTTGTTGCTTATGCCACTAAGTCAATTCTGACTCATAGTGACCCTATAGGACAGAGTAGAACTCCCATATAGGGTTTCCTAGGCTGTAATCTTTATGACAGCAGATTACCAGGTCTTTTCTCTCATGGAGAGGCCGGTGGGTTCCTACTGCCCACCTCTGTGTTAGCAAGGAAGTGCTTAATTTTTACCACATTTAATGTTGTTGTTGTTATGTGCCGTCGAGTCAGACCTGACTCATAGCGACCCCTCCTTGGGTTTCCGAGGCAGTATCACTACGGAAGTAGATTGCCC